GAAGGGTGAATTTGAGGACTGGCGCTGCGTTCCAATTCAGAGGCGGCATCTTTCGAAGGTTGCATTTGAATACCAATTGCAAAGGTTCGAATTGGGTTCGAATTGGGACCCAGCTTGGATCCTTTGAAGGCCGTGAAGTTTGGACGGAGCGTTGTGAAATGGGATGGTGACACAGTTGGTCTTCGAATGCAGCCTTCAAAGGATGCAGCCTCTAAATTGGGACGCAGCTAGTGAATCATGTTGTCAGTCATACATCACCTGCTCTACTGTATACATACTTTCAACTATCTGGATGTGCAGCATGTTGTATATTCTGGAATTTCAGTCAAATACTTTTTGTGTATAAGACATACATTATGCATCATTGTTATTTATATAGTCTACATTAATATGAAATACTTTAATGACAAGACAAACAATGTAACTGTTGTGAAAAAACTATTTAAAAAAATACCAGTTACTGTCTGTCTCCCCTCTGCCATGTTTAAAGTTTATGGCCCACCCAACTGAGAAATCTCCCAGAAGAAAAATGATGGATGGACACAATTTTGATAATCAGTAGGCTAATGCAATCAGTCAGAATGTGCTAACAATGCTATACTAAGGTTAAAGTTAGGGTTTAGCATTTATTTCAGTGTTGTGTAGGCAATCGTCAGTGTGAGTAATATGATCACCCAAGCAGAAAAACAACATACTATTGCCAGATATTGCTTACATAAAATCACCTAAATGCAGTTTATGCCAAACCGACTCAGCTGAATCAAATTACTAAAAGGAGTAAACCATAAATGTATATTTTTATGTTTATCTCAAAACAATGTGACAATCCACTGAAAACATATTCCTCCACATTTTTGACATAGACAAAGGAAACATTATCTGGCAACATGGATTCACTTAATGCAGTTAACTTAATTGCAAGCTATGTAATGGTTACTCGAATTAATAACCTACAAATAAGGTAAGAAAATAGAAATAATGCCATTGTGTTTCCTTTGTTTGATCTCTGCATGTCTTTGGGGTTTTCCTAAGCCATTTCAGCTGTCATGTCATGGAAAAGTGGGGAGGGAGGTTGGGGAGTTGAACAAGTCACGGCTCTCCACTGACTTCATGCCCATTAAACTGCAGCTGTTGCTCCTGTCAAAGCCGCAAATGCATCCTGATATTATCCTGATAGTAATGGACCCATGAGATGAGGGCTTTGGCTGTGGGAGACGCTGCGCCAGTAGGTTCACTGTGTAAACAACACTACTGAAAATGTGATGACGCACAACTGGTGTTTAACTGCACCTCATCATCGGCGCCATAAATCCTCCATTACATCTGATCACCAATGAACCTTCTGCCTTCATGTGTGACCACACGCACCAGTGCAAAACAGCACAAATGAGTCACCAGGACCAATCCTCTACCCTAGCGTACTCTAGCAGTGTAATCCGAGCTCATTGTAAATGCAACATCACCGCAAAATTGTATTATGTTGCTTCTTGTACATTTTACGACACTTTCAAAGTGAAATATACAGTGAGTGGAACTAAAAGTGCATTTAGTTTTATTCCAAACAGATGAACGTGAATCTGCGCTAAAATGTTAATGTCCCATTGTTTTTAAAAAGAACGTTCCACTCACACTCAACCCCACCCTAAGCCTAACTGAAAGTGTTAACTAAAGCAAACATTCGATTAAAATGCATTTGCACAAACAAACATGTCATTTTAGCTTGCTTCTAAAAGTCTTTGTGGTCTTTAATCGTAGTGTTTCTCATACCCGAGCACTCCTCATCACAACTGCAATGCTGTACCGGGTGTGCTACTGAGCAAGTTTACCACATCTGAAAAAAGCCATACATATATGTGATGAAAACATCAAATGCATTAATTTACAAATCATGCATTATGATAAAAGCATTTTGAGGACATAGCATAGTATTATACAAGGAACAGTGTGAAAAAAGTCTATATTAATCAATTTATGCACATATTTTATATACATATATTTACTTATTTATTTTTTGTCTACTTGATAATTTTGGACATCTAGCTTCCCATCTAGTTTTTTTTAGTGGTTTAACTGTTTTATAACTTGTTTTATTTTATCTTAGTTTTATTTTATTTTTATTTTAACAGTATATAAAGTGCTAAAGCATATGATTTTACTGTACACTTTGGCAGGCAGCTTTAAATATTCTCTCTAAACTGTTGTTAATTTGACTCTGAAACTGAAAGCTCCCTGACAGCAAGTGCAGGCCCTATCACAACAGCCAGTCTCACTCCCGTGGCTCCCAACCTGTCAGTCAAAGTCCATTAACAGCCTCTCACAGACAAACTGAGCCAAGAAGTGTGTGTGAGACTTAAGTGTGAACAAGACACGTGCAGGGAAGCCATTAGAACTGGAGACGTTCCCTCCCAAAGGACGTTAAAACCCTTGAGATGGAGACACTCCCTTATCTCTAACCCACTTGTGAAGACAACACAGCGCAGGTTATATCCTAAGCCTGACTACTGTAGTTTCATAACAAACCATTTCTACGATGCTTTGGTTTTGAGCCATGAAACGCATTAGAAGAACATCTGTCGTTAAATGCACATCTGCTTAAGATCTCTGTTAATGACACTGACATCAGTCCAGTTTTTATTAGCTGATAAACTGTTACTAATGTTAGCCCTGTCGTTCTGTGTTTTTCCAGTTTGCTTTGCTCTTTCAACCACGCCTGATGAATGCAGTTGTCTTGGACAATGAAAATGTCATTGAACCCAATGAAGTCTATACAGACATCCATGACCTACATGACCATTAAAGTGTGTTTCAGGACCAGAATCAATTCTGATAACCCTTAAATGTAAAAAGAGTTATAAAATTACATTGCAATTCAGTTAAGGGTTCGGGTGTTTTCAATGGAATGGTGTGCAGATGCTGAATTGCGTTTTTGAATGGATGCCAATGGAAGAGCGGCTTCAGTTAACAGCTTGTAAACAGCTTAACACTTAATGAACTGACAGCCTGTCCCTTAATCTCCAACGTGTTTGCCATGAAATAGTTAGTCTGGAGTGAGCTATATTTAGAGTTAAAAATGGTTCAAATAAAAAAAAAAATAGCAGCAGATAGTAGTTAGTTTACAGCACTGCTTCTGTTCATATCTATTTCTCTTATGGTCTTGTGCTGACAAAACCAATCCAATCAGCGTTCGCTGGTATCATGATGCAGCTCATCACCTATCTCAGTCAACTCAGACTCTGATCCTTAAAGGGACAGTTCACCCCAAAAATCTAAATTCAGTCACTATTTACTCACCTTGTTAATAATGAGTAACAACAACAACAATGAATAGCTCTGATATTCTGAAGTCAATGCAGACTGAATGTATAGTTTAATGATGTTCAGTACTGTGACTATAGAATTATTTGCATTTTATTTTATTTATTATTTATTATCTTATTCCATGTATGCATACTGTAGGTGTTTTGGGGAATATGAGGGTCGTGTGAATGTGGGAGGGAGTTTTTAGTTTAAGCAAAATTAAGTTTTATTTTGTTAAAGAAACTGAAAAAAGAAAGAAAAATTAAAGCATTTTCATTTATGGACTTAGACCTTGAGAACCCATTGTGTCATGGAGGACTATTGGTGCCACTCAAAAAATGTAATTCAAAACTGTTTATTTATTCCATGTTTAAAATGTTGTTAAATATAACGAATATAATTTAAATAAATATAATAATAATAAAACGAGGCTTGGCTGCCAGGCCAAGGGCCATAATAACACATACGCTTCTCACAACAATGATTATATTATTACAAAAATGTTGTGGTTCAGAGAGAACCTTGCATACCACATATTATATAGTCACAATGCATTTATAAAGTTGAATGATTTTGCAAAAATAAATGTCAAATGCTTTTTTAAATGAAAAAAAAACAACAAAAAACATTTTAGATATGCCTATTTATTTGTCCATTTGAAATGTGAATTATTTATTTATATATATATATTAGTGCTGTCAATTGGTTAAAAGATTTTAACTAATTAATCGCACACTGGTTTTTGAATAATCGTGATTAATCGCGATTAATCCCACCTAACATTAAAGTTTTTAAATATACTTTTATATTGCAATAATTTTACATGCAATCTTCAAATTAATGTACAAACAACATAAAACAGTATATTTTTTAAATATTTGTTTAGTGGCATCTTTTTTTTATGACTGAAGGCGAGTATCACTGATACCAATACTGATGCCTCTATGAAATAGATTTCCCCCCCTAATATTTAACCATTGATTATAGCTTTACATGCAATCTTCAAGTTAATGTACAAACAACATAAAACAGTATATTTTTTTAATATTTGTTTAGTGGCATCTTCTTTTTATGACTGAAGGCGAGTATCACTGATACCAATACTGATGCCTCTATGAAATAGATTTCCCCCCCTAATATTTAACCATTGATTATAGCCATTCAACATTACAGTATAACCGAGAGCTATCAATTTGAACCTTTATAAGACTAAAAAATTACTACTTCTAATTGAACTTAAAACAATCTTCACATAAACCCATTATAATACTGTAAGTGTTATATTTAGTTAACTGTGCCCTTCAGCAAGTAGGAAATATAGACCTACAGAAATTGAATAAAGTTATCAAACACTAAATTCTAAATTAAATATAGATGAATCCTTATAGCTACAAAAGTTATTGATTTCACATCAGACATCACAGCAGCTGGGATATTAGGTTTTTTGGCTGCTATTTCTTTAAGCCAGTCCAATAACCAAATATATATATATATATTTTATTTATTAATTGACTATTTAAACTATTTAACTAACTATTATAAACTATTTAACTAACTAACTAACTAACTAAATTTCCTTTCCAAAACTAAAGACGAAATGCTAATGGCTACCTTTCAAAAGGGTGTTTCATACACTGACACAGGGCTGGGTCTGAGGAGGATTAGATCATTTAAGCTCCTTCTGGGCTTTATGTCAAGAATAGAAAAATAAGAAGTGGAGCAGTGCCCTGATATCAGCTGCTGTTGATGCAAATACCGCCTTTACATCATTACTTCTCTAAAGGAACCTCTGCGGAAACGTGCACTGACTGCCTTAAGGTAAGAATTCGTCTGGATCCGTATAGTTCCATATGGTTTGAATGTGTCTCTTATAGTTAAGTGATTGTCATGGCAAGGTTAGGACTTTGCTGACTCTTGCAAAATTTTGCAAGGCAGACACACACATTTGTCATAGTATGTCTTGTCTTCCATTAAAATAATAATATATTTTTTTAGAATATCAGACCAATACAATTAAATGAGAAAGTTCCTGAATTACGAACTAATGTTTAATTTATGGAGTGATTTTTGTTTGTTTGTTGACTCACTTATGTACAGCATTTATGCACACAGCTTTTATGATTATATTGAGAGACCCTATGAAATATTTGGGCTTTTAAATATTGATTTGTTAAAGGAACATTTGAAATGAAATAGTGTAAGTGTTATTAGTTAGTTAGCGTTATATTAGTTCATGTATGAGGAACAATACTTCACAGCATTTATTCATCTAGATTAATGTTCATTTCTACAATAATAAAACATTTTCATTTTCAGCATTTCAGCTTGTATTAAATGACCATTACTTTGGATTGATTCATTAATTCATTAGTTTATGAATGAACAAGAATTCACAGTGAACAAGAGTTCCTTGTAAACAAACAAACAACAACACAGAAGATGAAATTGGCCCATGTTTCTATGTTTTAGAGTACAGGACTGTAGATGCCAGGTCATCCAGCAGAATGAGTCGGAGGAAGAGGAGGAACAGTCGCAGGAGGCGGAGCTCCAGCAGCAGTAAACGTGAGTGCTGGTCTATATATATGTGGCTCCGGGGCCATGTGTGGACCGTAATCCTCTAAACACTGTCTGAGTCACGCTTAGCCCACGCCTACAGCACAGCCCAGACACAGGTGCCCGATTAGGGGACGCCTATTCTCACAGCACTCGCCATCACACTGAAATCTGCTTTGAGATCTCAAAAATGACAATGAAAATGTATTTCCTTGATAGGTTACGTAACTTTATGATGGCTAAAATGAAGCTTTTTTGGGTTTTTCCTTCAAACATAAACAAGTATTCTGTTACAAATAAGACTGAGGAAAGATATGTGCAATGCAATGCATCTAAACCTCTTATCTTTTTGTACAGAATGCATCTCCCCATATAATTTTCAAAGACACACTATGGTGGACACTGTGGAAGCTGCAGAGAAGGGAGAAACTGACTCCTTCTGTAAAGAGCATGAACTGTCAGTGTCTGAAGACGAGAAGGAGACTGAGACTCCAACCACGGAGAAAGAAAACAGACCTGGGAGTTGCGAAGATTTCTTCCAGGACAAAAAGAATAAAGACAGACAAAAGCCAAACTCAGAACCAGGTCCAGGGTTAAGAATCACACATTTTGTGACCATCGATAACTTTGGACTGTCTTCTCCCAGAGTTGTGTTCGAACGGTGCCATGAAGCAACGGTTAGTAGTGTGATAGCAGTCACAACCACTGAGATCAAGTGCATGAGCCCAAATATGAAGCTTGAGATCAATGAAGTCGTGACATCAGATGATTCAAATATCAAGACAACCTTTATCACTCAAAACCACAGAGACAAAAGAGAAGAGGCTCATTTTAGAACTGAAAAACATCAAACTCGAAAAAACACCTACGTCTATTCATGGAACCAACAAGGAGCAGATTACAAACAAAACATCAGTGAGAATATCAGCTACAAGATTAGCATTGCAGAGCTGAATTCAGAGTCATCACATGCTTCCAAGAGTCAGAGCTCATGGGACGATCCCGAAGAAATGGCTTGCCATAAAAGCTGCTGTAAAAACAACTCCCGTTGGGGAAACACAGGTGGCCAGACGGACACAGAATTCACACTGGTTGATGGATCCTCATGTTGCTCATCACCCTCTGATTTCTGGCAACATCAGAAACAGCACTCACTGCCCAGCAGTCTCAGTAATGAGGCATTATGGGATATCCCTCCCCCTGATGAATTTGCTGATAAGAAGGCTAGTGCACTGGATTTCCTTGCAGAAAATGTTGCATCTTGTCAGATCAGTCCCAGAGAAAGATTCGCTGACAACCACAACACTAAATGCACGCAGACAGCATCTGAGGTTACCTTGTGCAAAGAGTTTACATTCCAGAATACACTGGACAACAGGGCAAATGTGTCCAGGTGCGAGTCCTCGGGTCCTCAGGAACATTTATTCATGAATCCCAGAGCTTCAATAAACAGATCTTCTTTCACTAAAAACTTCATCGACAATCACGAAAGGAAGACGCGCTTGCGCAACAACAGCATCGCCATCCTAGAAAGCAAAACTCATCCTGCAGGCTACATGGACATTCCTCCCAAAAGACGAAAGACGTACCCGGGATTGACATATCAAATGAGTCAAGCCAGAGAGAGCATTCCCTCATACAGAGAGTCGTTTTCCTCTGGCACACTGTCGTCGTTTTTTATGCAGTCGCTTCCCTCTCAGGCAGAGAGGATGGGCAGATTTTATGTAGAAGACGAAAGACTTCGTCCGCTTGGGAGCCGCAAATCTTCCAGTAGCAGCAGCTATAGACCAAGCTCAAGCTCCACAACAGGTCCCGACTCTTGTATTCCCAAGTTTAAAGATTACCGCTCAACGAAGAACCCCTTCTATCCATCCAGGTCTGATGAGAGCCCAGAAGAAGTCTTCTTTAGAGGCGAACAATATCATGGGCCAGCAGAGCTGGACGAGATGGAGCAACCGAGTTCTGGTTTGATGATCGTTGATGGTGCGGATCAAGATGGTGTGCCTGAGCTGAATGAAGTCAATGAAAGTGGCTTTGACGAGGAGATGCTGGAGCTGGATGAGTCCATTTCTCCAGGTGACACCATGGAGAGACATCACAGGGAGCTTCTTATTCATGTCATCCCACCGTCGCTGTGCAACTCTGAGGAACAAATCGACGAAGGATTATCCAACGGTGTCAAGCATAACACGTGTGACAGAGACGAAACCGATGCTCCAAAGAAACGGAGAGGTTCGGTAATGACAATAATCACTGGGGACTGTGAGCAGAGATTTCTACGTTGCATCCATCGATTCCGCCTTGTTTCTCATTGACGCCCCCAACTCGGAATCTCGGGGCTTAAAGAAAATTTTGAGTTTCCCACTCGTAATAACGACAAAGTTTAGAGTCATTTAGCAACCAAAATCGTCATTTCTCCCATTCAGCCTGTCATTTGAATAATTTTACAGATTGTTTTACCAATGTCCAGATTTCTGGACATTTTTGTTTACAGTTATTTTGTAGGATCATCAAATTTGCATCTGTGTTGTTGGGTCACCAATCTGTGCCCTGAAGCAGAAAACGACTAAAACAGTGTTTTGTTGGCTTTGGCTTTACAATGTTGCCGTAATCAGTCCTACTGATTTTTGTGTATTTTATCATTCATAGATTCATTAGAGGTCAAAGAGCACCTCAGGCCTCCAACAGACTCCATTCATAAAGATTCAGAGGAGCATTCAGACCACTGGGCAAGGAGACGCAAGCTCTTCAAGGAGAGCAAACAGCGCAGTTCTGCAGGAGGAAGCTCTATTACTAGCAATATCACAGAGGAATCAGGTATTCACTTACATATACGCTCAATTTATGTGCCGATCGGTTTCGAAGGAAGTTTTTGTGCAATCAATGCATTTCTTCCTATTTATGGCAACTCATTTTAGGTCACAAAAAGTTCATTTAAACAAGTGTGACCATGGAGTCTAAATTCACAGTTTACTCATGCTCTTCTGAAGCTAATAATTCTACTTAATGCTATTTGAATATATTAAATATTACAATAATATATTAATGTAGCCTTATTCATTAAAGGAGGACAGAGAATTTACTAATTTCATTCACTTTAAACCATCCTGCAAGTCGGACTCACCTGCATTCAGCTCCCAACTAGTGTGGCAAATGACCAGCTTAAACCAGCAAAGGACCACTTTAAACCAGCAAAGGACCATCTTAAACCAGCAAAGGACCAGCATAAACCAGCAAAGGACCAGCTTAAACCAGCAAAGGACCAGCATAAACCAGCAAAGGACCAGCTTAAACCAGCAAAGGACCAGCATAAACCAGCAAAGGACCAGCTTAAACCAGCAAAGGACCAGCATAAACCAGCAAAGGACCAGCTTAAACCAGCAAAGGACCAGCTCAAATCAGCATCCCAGCTTCAAAACATACCTAACCAGCGTATGCTGGTTTTTTCAACAGGGATACCCCAGATTTCTGGCATATTTTTGGTAGTTTGGTACTTGTATTAAGAAAGTTATTGTGAGAATTACTATTGACTATCAAAATGTAGGCTACAGTAGGTAGAATGCATTTTTATTTAAAACATTGTCTTCTTTTTTCGTCATTAAGACACAATGAACTCTGAGGACACTCGTTCGGTGGACATGTCAATGCGGGATATTGAGGACAGAGGATTTTACACAGAAACCTTTCACTCAGTATCATGGATGTACCATGGAGATGAAGTTAACCAGAATGAAAGTGCACACTGTCTCAGCAGCTGTACTCGACCAGCAGCAAGTGGGTTCATGGCATTCTCGGATGAATATAGGCTAGGACTGGCTATTTATGATTTGCAGTGTTTAAAGATGCATTATATGTTTCAGTTCGTGAGCGGACAGTGAAAATCAGCAAAGGCATGGGCGAGTATCCCTGGGGCTTCAGGATTCAGTTCTCCAAACCCATCGTGGTTACTGAGGTGGACACAAGTAAGTTATTATCAAGGATACATATCTGGTGCATGTCAAAGTAAAAGAATGAGAAACTCACTAGTTATTTTCTAAATTAGATTTTGTAAAAATAATAGCTTGAAGGCATTGAATAAGGCCTGTTCACACCAAATAGAGAGAGGGAATAGGAGAAGCCCACACCACAACTATAACGATAACACACAAAGATTGTGTTCTCCAGCTGATGAACGATAACAACATTCGGAGCCAATCAGAATCAATCCTGCTTTGAAGCGCTCAAGCTTTTAAAGAGACAGACGACAAAACTACAGTACACAGGAGACTGTTCTCGCTGCAGCGCGATGACATACTCGAGAAGATCCACTACATTTTAAATACGTCATTAAAGTCTAAACATGCCTTTGTGCAATGAGCTACACATTATAACTCAATATTGATTTAAAAATTAAATTGTTTGATGAATCTGCATGACATTTTTTGCAACTTTGACAGGGTCTGTTACTGGTTAAGTAACAGTTAGCAGTTTAACTTGATGTCTATGTCTGTAAATTCACGAGTAGCCATAGGTTTTTCTCCCTACTGGCAACTCCAAAGCACGGTACTAATACTGAATATGCATTGTAGTTAAATTATCATTATCTTTATTGTTAATAATCTTGGTGACCCTTAAATCACCGTAGATTACAGTGTCAGCCAAATGCATAAAAGAAAATGTGCTAGATTTTAATGAGATTACTTTGCTAAAAGAGCTGTTGTGGTTGAAGTGCAAAAACTATAGCCACAAATTCATGACTAAACAGTCAAAACACTTACAGTACATTTAGTAACACTTAAAAACAAACGGTCGGTAAATTCATATGAATATGTACAGTCTCATTTGTGTATTTCGTGATAGGTTTAGGAGTAGAGCTTCATTCTTACGTTTTTATACAAATTGCATGTTTCAAAAAATCACGCAAATTCACACCAAATCACCGATTTGTAAAATAGTGACATTTTCTCTCGAGATCGGGTTGGAACAGCTCTACTTCTATCCTTTAATCACATGGATTAGTTTTTAAAATCTATCATGAGCAGATGGACAATGCAAGAATAGACACCGAATTTTCTTTTCAGTTCTTTAAATGCTAACTTATTGTAAGTTCTAGTAGCAAAAAGTGCGCCGTTCATGGGCCATGTTCCTCAGATGTTGAGAGCTCAGATGGCTGTGTTTCAGATGGAGCAGCGGAGGAGGCAGGCCTGCAGGTTGGAGACTATGTGCTGGCGGTCAACGGCACCGATGTCACGATGGTGCCACACTCAGAAGCGGCTGACCTCGTACAGCAAGGTAGGGTGCACACTCAGACAACATTATTACTGCATTTCTCATAAACAAGGTTTTGATATTTTGAGGTGATTTTAGATTTAGATTAAGGTTTGTTGGTTTCATGCTCAGTTTTCTCTGTAACCATTTACTGTACATTGACTGGTAGCTTGACATATAGTTGCAGTGTTGGGAAGTAACTAGTTACATGTAACTAAATTACGTAATTTTATTACAAAATAATAAGGTTATACTTTATTTTAAGGTGTCCTTGTTACAGTGTAATTATACATTTAGGTACTGAGTAATATTAATAAACAACATGTACTTACTATGTGGTTAGGGTTAGGATTAGGGTTATTTGCATGTAATTATAAAACGGAGAGTTCCGGTGCTTGATTCTGATTGGTTGAGCCACATTCGAAGCTGTTGTAAAATGCTCTACAAACATACACCTTTGTTTATGTTTGTGTGTTGCTCGGCAACCACTTTGTTGGAACCACAACTGTTTCTGAGGAACTACATTGTTTGGTGCAAGAATACTGTTTTTATTAATATCATTACACTTTATTTGCTCTGTTTTATTCTGTGACACCGTACTACGTATATGGAATAACCGTTTTACAAAAGCTATAAGCCCCGCGAAGCCGTGGTTTACAGTGAATTTATAACAGCTAAGGGGGTTTTAGTCAACAACAACGCCCCTTAGCTGTTATAAATTCACTGTAAACCACGGCTTCTTAGGGCTTATTGCTTTATAATGCATAATTTATTGTTATTATAATAGTAAGTACATGTAACGTGTAACAAGGACGCCTTAAAATAAAGTGTTACCCAAAATAAATGTAATTTTAATCAGTTACAGTTACTGAGAATGTAATTGTATTAAATTACAGTTACTTATGAAAATGTTAACAATTAGAAAGAGGGTTACATCTGAATATTTTCACACATCCACATACAGACTTAATTTTTTTTTCATAACTTGCACTGACTGCTCTAAAATATGAGACACCAATGTTTCAGGAGTTTAGGACACAGAATAGGACACATGCTTCTTCGATAACTGTTTTATTTCTTATTTGGGTTTATGTCTATGCTTAATTTTTTTTAAGATGACCTGTTTTTTCCAGTGCCAGTGTTTCCTGTCATAGCTATGCAAGATTTGATTTGCAAAAACTGTATCATAGCTATATTAATAGCTGTATTTAACCTCAGAATGATTTTGAAGTAAGTCTGATTTTGTGGTGGCTGTGCTTTAAAATTAAATTATTATAATCTTAATTCAAGTGATGAAGGATTTTGAAAGTCTGACAGTAAGGTGTAAGGTTAACCCTGCCTGCTTTACATGTTTGCAAATGATTAACAGTTGAAAATATGAGAAATTTAATAAAAAGTAATAAAAAGTAATCAGTTACATTACTTGAATAAAGCAATTGAAATAGTTACACTACTTACTACATTTTAAAGCGGGTTACTTGTAATCTGTAACCTATTACATTTCCAAAGTAACCTTCCCAACACTGTATAGTTGCAATGGTTTTTATAGTGGACTATCAAAATAAAGTGTGCTGTTGTATAACTTAATGACATCAGTTTGTGTCTAATTGTTTTGTGTGATTTCTGGTTCGAATTATAAAGGCCCAGACATTTTGACTCTGACCATTGGCTCGGACATCGGTCGAATGCCGAACACTCCTCGACCGGCGTGCAGGGGTTACTTGCATAAGAGAACTCAGTCCAGTTTGCTGAAGGGCTGGAGAAAGAGGTGGTTCGTGCTCAGACACGACTGCTGCCTCTGTTACTACAGAAACAAGCGCGTGAGTGCAGCTTTCTGTTTCAACCGGACAGATGAACCTGCAAAATCTGAATGTGCAGTGCCATATAAACTTGGTTTCTCGTTGGCAGGATGAAGGGAAGAGCCGAGCTCTGTCTGTGGTGAGTCTGGAAGGGGCGCTGGTGGAGGCCGACAGCAGTTTAGGAAAGCCGTTTGTGTTCAGATGCTGCCCTGTGTCTGGGAACCGAGTTTACTACCTGTGTGCCACATCAAACCAAGAGATGAAGAGGTGAGAACATACAGTACTTTTATAAACGGAGAGATTTATTAAATGTAATCAGACTGTGTGACACTGCAGCTGATTTCAAAACAGTTTGGCTCTTCCAGTAACAAGCTGCAGTGATGGTGGAGCATAACAAAACACTGCACTATGCAGCAGCAATGTAAAGTCATTTTGGTCAATTGGTTAGTCTGCTAAATACCCTTACGAAAAATAAGTTTATTCAAGTGTGCTATTAGTATACTTCTTTTAAACTAAAAATAGGAAAGTATACTTTTAGTCTACTTTTATGTACTTCTCAGAAATATACTTAAAATGACATTTAAGTATACTTAAATAAACATGAAGTATACTACTTTTTGGTAAGGGTAAACACTGATAAAAGAAAAAAAATCACTGATTTATGGTTCCTTCACAGCTTACTGTTTTGATATTGAAATATATAGTTAAATGCTGTTTTGTGTGTGTTTTAATGGCTATATTTAGTGTAAAGTTATTTTAAAGGTTTAAAGCAGCACTATGTAACTTTTTCTGTGTTCAAAATTTGCTAAATGTATATAATGAGCGAGTACATCATGAATTCATCTTCCAAACCGCGTTTTTGTCTTATTCCGAATCACTACGGTACACTTATAATAAGTACTTATATTTGGACTATTGTAGCCTGGTCACCGCTGCGGAGTAACACATACCTGCGTGAATAGCCAGAGACATAAACTTAGAGAAGTAGCTCCGGTTGGAATGTTCTTCCGCGGGATGTGTGCAGTTCTGTTTATTAACCGCTAGAGCGCCAAAAGTTACTCAGTGCTGCTTTAATGCTGTCATCCTTGCCTTCAGAAGTTTTTTTTTCATAGACCCTCCTTGCTTGTTTTTATGCCAGATAAATTCTGTTCTTAAAACTGCTGATTATACACTTTGATGGTTTATATTTTAAAAGATATTGCCTCCTTAAATAGCCAAGATGATAGACCTATGTGTAGTTAGCTACGTTTGGTTAGCTTGTAGTGTAGTTAACATTTTCAAAAGCATTTCTAGACTATTAACCACTTCAAATTATGAGTACACTGCAACTTACTTTTAAACATATCGAAAATTCTTGAAGAAAAAAAACTTAAGAAGCAACACATAGATTGTATCTTGAATATACTGTAAGTGAATTTTATTAATACACTTGCAAATATTTAAGCAGATTGTTTTTGAACTTGTAAATATTATTATTATTATTATTTATTACAGCAAGTAAAAAAATGTGCCAGTGCAGGAAGACAAAATTGACTCCTATTCAAGATACATTCTCTGAAAACAAGTCTTAATATCTTGCCTCACAGTACATTTCTATTTATTTATATTCTTATTTACTGTATGTCTAAACTCAGTTCAGTTTTTTTATATAGCTTCCAAGCAGCTTTACAGAAATGTATGACTCAGTGTCTTGGATGTGATAACAGCCTTATTATATCAGCCTTATGGTGTAATACTGTATAAGTTGCATTCATCAAATGAACTAAACAAAAAGTGCATTCTTACCAGGATCAGAAATTAATAGTGGTGTGGTCACCAAAATGACCAAAAATGCACCCAAATTCAAGATGCAATGGCCAATCAGATCAGCTCACTTCCTGAATTCTGCTCTCATGTATAAAAGATGCAGGTACGATGTAAACAAGAGATGAATTTCATAGTGTAAACAGATTCAAGGGTATAATGGGAGTTTTTGCGAGAGTGCAGAACTCAGTGACCTCACGCTAGACTGAAGTCATGCACCGCTTCAATGAAGGGCAACGTCCCTTGCTCATGTTTTGTATATAATTTATTCTTATTTTACTTTTGTTTTCATGCTGAGAAGTTAATCTAATGCATAAAAACAATTAACTATTTCATAAACGGTTATTAACAAAGATAGATTTAATAAGATAATCATAAAAATTGCTCTAACAAAGGTTAAAGAAATGACCCAAAGGCGGAAATTAAAAGGTGACGCTTCAATGAAGGGCAACGTCCCTTGCTCATGTTTTGTATATAATTTATTCTTATGTTACTTTTGTTTTCATGCTGAGAAGTTAATCTAATGCATAAAAACAATTAACTATTTCATAAACGGTTATTAACAAAGATAGATTTAATAAGATAATCATAAAAATTGCTCTAACAAAGGTTAAAGAAATGACCCAAAGGCGGAAATTAAAAGGTGTGAGCTCATTACAGTTTTTTCAACTGCTTACATTTTCAGAACCTTGCCTCGTCTTTTCAAAACTTTACACACAAATCCAAGAACTGCGCACACAAAATGCAAAGTGCCTCACATCTCTTGCAAAATGAAGCACTGCCTTCAAAATATCACAAACACTCAAAAGCAAACATTTGCAAACACCTTTTCCATAATATTAATTCCTATTAGATTTTGTGTGTTACACAGAGAATTGTGTGTTGTGTTTTGCAAAAAGTGTTTTATGAAATTGAGTCAAAGGCTGAGAATTAGCGTATGGTTTTGCAGATTTGGTGTGTGCTTCCGGCCTTTGAGTGTCAGGTTTCAGAAATTGTGCGACAAGTAAAGATTTTGTGTGTAAGCAGTTGAAAAAACTGGTACAATCTGATACAATCATCCTCCAGCATCACATTAAGTAGGGGTGGTACTTGAAGGTGGAATCAGGATTCAAAGTAGTTTCCCCAACACTGAAAGGAATTAGGCTCATAGAGCCTTTCCCATGCAACAAGACTTAATGTTGCTGTTTGCATCATGCCATCCAGCTTGTTTCAGAGGGACTGCCGATACTGTAAGGTGATTAATAACTTGCATACAAAAAAACAAACAAAAAAAACATCTGGTAAATAACAAATGAGTTTGTAATTGTTTGTTTCTCAGGTGGCTGGAGGCTATGGGTAGAGCAGTTCATCCTATTACACAGGTAACTTCCTAATCATCTGTGCATGCATTATTTGCTGTGGCATCATTACACATATCTAAAATTGGGTATTTTGTTCCAAATTTCAACTCTAATAATACAAATGAACAGGATCAATTAATAAACTGAATCGCATTGGCTGAAAGCGACTGATGTTGTTGTGGCAATGCTCATAATGCTAATGATGGTGCTTGTTGAGGCAGAATCACGTGTGGGTGGATGTGACTCGACACAACTCAAACCTGCCCCCTCTGGCAGTCAAGAACCCAGAATGCCTTGGGTTACTGCACCAGCTGGACAGGACCAAGGACTCACGGGTGCAGCACTACTGTGTGCTGAAAGACGGATGCCTCTATTTCTACGCCAGCATTCGGTCAACCTGCGCTATAGGTACGTCTGTTACAGTGCAACTGCTGCAACGGTTCACAATTATGATATGATTATGATTACAGTTAATGGCAAGAAGAATGTTTGTGAAATGTACACTCTAAAAAATGCTGCACACAAAATGCAAAGTGCCTCACATCTCTTGCAAAATGAAGCACTGCCTTCAAAATATCACAAACACTCAAAAGCAAACATTTGCAAACACCTTTTCCATAATATTAATTCCTGTTAGATTTTGTGTGTTACACAGAGAATTGTGTGTTGTGTTTTGCAAAAAGTGTTTTATGAAATTGAGTCAAAGGCTGAGAATTAGCGTATGGTTTTGCAGATTTGGTGTGTGCTTCCGGCCTTTGAGTGTCAGGTTTCAGAAATTGTGCGACAAGTAAAGATTTTGTGTGTAAGCAGTTGAAAAAACTGGTACAATCTGATACAATCATCCTCCAGCATCACATTAAGTAGGGGTGGTACTTGAAGGTGGAATCAGGATTCAAAGTAGTTTCCCCAACACTGAAAGGAATTAGGCTCATAGAGCCTTTCCCATGCAACAAGACTTAATGTTGCTGTTTGCATCATGCCATCCAGCTTGTTTCAGAGGGACTGCCGATACTGTAAGGTGATTAATAACTTGCATACAAAAAAACAAACAAAAAAAACATCTGGTAAATAACAAATGAGTTTGTAATTGTTTGTTTCTCAGGTGGCTGGAGGCTATGGGTAGAGCAGTTCATCCTATTACACAGGTAACTTCCTAATCATCTGTGCATGCATTATTTGCTGTGGCATCATTACACATATCTAAAATTGGGTATTTTGTTCCAAATTTCAACTCTAATAATACAAATGAACAGGATCAATTAATAAACTGAATCGCATTGGCTGAAAGCGACTGATGTTGTTGTGGCAATGCTCATAATGCTAATGATGGTGCTTGTTGAGGCAGAATCACGTGTGGGTGGATGTGACTCGACACAACTCAAACCTGCCCCCTCTGGCAGTCAAGAACCCAGAATGCCTTGGGTTACTGCACCAGCTGGACAGGACCAAGGACTCACGGGTGCAGCACTACTGTGTGCTGAAAGACGGATGCCTCTATTTCTACGCCAGCATTCGGTCAACCTGCGCTATAGGTACGTCTGTTACAGTGCAACTGCTGGAACGGTTCACAATTATGATATGATTATGATTACAGTTAATGGCAAGAAGAATGTTTGTGAAATGTACACTCTAAAAAATGCTGGGTTGTTTCAACCCAACTTTGATATTTCCTACTGAGACACTACAGCAAAAGTTTGACAATTGACTTAAAACCATTTTTTTGGTGGCGAGAATACTAATGGCCTAAGACTTTTGCACAGTAGTGTATCTGCCTGACCTTACAAATGCTCGACAGGCAAAAATGGAAAGCCTTCCCAGAAAAGTGGAAGTGTCATAGCTGCAAAAGGAGGGACTAACTCCATATGAATGTCTCTGTATAATGCAATGACATTAAAGTACCTGATGGTCAGGTGTCCCAATACTCTTGTCCAAATAGTGTATATATCAAGACCTACAGTTTATGTTCTTTCATGCAAATGTTTTCAGTTTTTCATTCTAGTATAGCTATGACAGCTAATACAGTAGCTCTCATTTGTCTTGTTGCAGGAGGAATCTACCTGCATGGCTACACAGTGAGGGATCAGCCAGTGGGATCCAGAAGATCTGCTATTGAGCTCAGACCTCCGTCTGAAGAGTTTAAAGTGTTCTACCTCTGCGCAGAGAATGCAAACGAGAACAAGCGGTAATTAACTTGATATTGAATAATGTTCAATCATGCATTTAAAAAGCATTCAGTAAATGCATTAAATCCACTTCATGATGCTAGTCAAGACTGCATGCACAAAAAACAGTAAAGATTTTGACAGTATTATTTTACAATTAAACTTTTCGAACAAGTGGGACTGTCAAAAGGGCTGAAAACTTTTTTTTCTTTTTAAAATTCAGTCTACAGAATGGCTCAATGAAAAAAATATATTAAAGGAATAGTTCACCCAAAAATGAAAATGTTGTCATCATTTACTCACCCTCATGTCTTTATGAGTAAGAAGATATTTTGAAGAATGCTGGTAATCAAGCAGTTGTTGGTCCTCATTGACTTCTACAGTATTTCTTTCCCTACTATGGAAGTCAATGGTGGCCAACAACTGTTTGGTTCTTCAGAATATCTCATTTTGTGTTCAACATAATTTATACAGGTTTGGGACGACATGAGGGTGAGTAAATGATGACAAAATTTTCATTTTTGGGTGAACCATTCCTTGAAACGGATCATCTACGAGAAGCCCTCTTTTGAAAATCCTGTTGCCCATGATATGAAAAAAAGTATGCATTTTTGTATGCAAATCTTAATTTCTGACAGGAAGGCTTTAGGCAGCACATGGGTGAAATGGCAGGAATTACCATCATCCTTTTCTCTTCTGTTTTCAGATGGATTAGTGCAATAAAATCATCTACAGCAAAATGGCTGCCATTGCATCAGGCAATTCAGGACTACATGAGTCGCCCATCCGAGGAAACAAGAATGTGAACAAGACTGATTACAGGACAGTCTGGCGTTTCTCAACAAGCACAACCGTGTTCAATCCATAGCATGAGGATCTCCTTATTGTCTCTTAAAATTAGATCTGTGAATATCCAGACATTGTGCACAATAAGTTTATTAGAAGACTTAAGGCTAGTTTAATCATGACAGGTTAGTAGGTTGGGTCTTGGTGGGCATCACTTTGTTCTCAAAAGTGACCAGGTTGATGATGGTGAAAGCTCTTATGCCTAAATGGCTCAAATGCATAGCCTTACAGATGCATGACGCCAAATTAGCATCGAGTGCAATATCAGAAAGTGTAGCTGTACAGTGCTAAAACTTGTAATCAGATCTTTACTGTTTTGATAAACGTCTATGTTGAACTGATCTTGAGATTGGCTTTGAAGTGCATTTGCTCATTTACCAAAAACTAAAGGACAAATTGATAATTGAGCGGTATGAATACAAAATAGAACAATTGAACAAATTGAAACTACAATGATCAAATCATCTAGTGTAAATAGTCACGATGGAACCTAAAATATCTCCACGAATAATATTCAAGTGCTTTTTTTTTTGACAATGCAGCAGAAGCAAGTGCATGAAGTTGTTATGGCAACCTGTGCAGTGACGGCAGCTGGAAGCATAGAAATAGAAGTAGAAACCATCAAACTCTTTTCTCTAATTCTCTCAGTCTTTTGTTTTAAATGATGACTGTTTAAGGTCCACTTAACCGTTCAGATGTTGCATGTTTCTTTGCATTCAGAGGACAGGTTAAGAAAGAAGGATGGAATGCATTTCTGTAAACCTGTTTGTGAATTCTTACGATGTTTTCCATTTTCAGCATTTGCTAATTATGTAAAGACACTGCCACTGTTATTGTATATAACACACATTTTCTTTAGTTCTTTAGGACACATTTAGTCCTCTTTAGATAGGATGCAGTGGAATATCTTAATTCTTGTTTTAGCTCATTTATACATTATTATGACTTTTACTATTCTTTGTATAACTAATGCTACATTTATGGTTTTTTGTATTACTATTTTTATTAGTATTGGACTGTAAAGTCTTCCAGTTTACAGTTTGATAAGATATTTTTTACAACCTAAGGGAGTATTTATACTTGGTCACTTTATTCATTTTAATTCATTACATTAATCATTCATTTATGTGGCCCGAACAACCAGATTCATTACACTTGGCTGAAATGCATTTCAGATTGGATTCACCTAATGACTGGATAGCTATTTGATCAGTAAAACACATGTAGTGACCAAGTGTAAATATCCTCTAATGATTTCCCTAAAATTTGATGTAGTCTGTTCATTGAAGTGCTTGTATTGCATGTAAAGAGCCCATGAAGCTTGCCAAAATACAGACTTGCATTATGTTCTACCTCACAGAAGCTGTTCTTGTACTATAAGTTTCATTATTACAGTTTTCTGAAAGAGTCTGACTGGTAAAATACACTATACTGTACTAAAATATACCATACAGTATATTTTAGTTTATTTTATAAATACAAGTACACAAATACAAGTACAATTTAGAGTAATTGAATTACAATAAGATTTTTGTTTTACTGTTTTGGAAACAGGCCTCCATAAGTTAGATTATTTTGCAAAATTCAAAAACAATTCAAAAATATGTAGGCCTATGTCATTTCACAGTGGTCAAGAAATCAGAAATGTCAACATAATCACAGATTCCGGAGATGAAGTTGATTTTTGCTTTAAATCCACTTTAAATATGTCAAAACAAATTAATGCAGCAAGACAAATACTATAAAATGTAAAAACACAAAAATGCTTAAAAACGCATTTAACATCTGTTTAAAATACAAAATACGTTACAATATAAATAAAAGAATACACCGAAGTAGAAAAACAAAACTGTAAATGAATAGTCTAAGGCATTGCATGTCTTCATTCAGAGAGGCCTAACGTTATACATTTACATTTTTTGCTCGTTTTAAGATAAAAATAATTCTGCATCAATGATCTGCTCAGAATGTTTGTACATAACCCACCAGTAACACACACAATGTAATGTCACATAAATAATGTGAGGCATTATTACATTCAAGTCATCTGTTTCAGGCATGCCAATACAATCTGACATACAGCAGTACATTTGATTGGTCTAAATGACTTTGACAACATGCATGTAATACATTCAGTAATCTGTGACTGATATATATACCAGTGGTTCCCTTTTTTAGGTGTAACCATAAGGTTCAACCAGACATGTGTTCCTTTTATTTCACATTAATAGAAAATCATTTACACTTATTATTAAAATTTCCAGTCAATTAAAAAGTGGATACTGTGGGTGAAATCAGACTCACCAAGTTACCATATGCTATGACTGGAATTCAACGCAAATTCATAAAACCTTTTTTTTTACACACACGATTTTACTTTTGGAGGTTTTTTGCCCTTAAAGCAGCACTATGTAACAAAATTTGCAAAATGTATATAATGAGCGAGTACATCATGAATTAATCTTCCAAACCGCGTTTTTGTCTTATTCCGAATCACTCCAGTACACTTATAATAAGTGCTTATATTTGGACTATTGTAGCCTGGTCACCGCTGCGGAGTAACACATACCTGCGTGAATCGCCATAAACATCCAGAAATCACTTACTCTGCCTTTAAAAGGAAACTGCAAAGAACCTGCTCAAGTAGCTGTTTGGACATGTGTGACCAGGTTGGGAGTCTCTGAATTGTGTGAATCAAAAAATAATTATGTAAAATACTGTATCTTTGGCAACTTTTGTGTAAGACATTTTCAGACAAGATCACTTACCAAGATTGTAATATCAACGCACTAAGCAGGACTGTTTCATTTGTCATTTGGAAACAACAGTAGTTGGTTCAGTGTCTAAAGCATTGCACTTTCTCTATAGTAAACGAATCAGAAGTGTCACAGGATGACCAGTTTGCAGTTGAAGGCACACTCATTCTCCAAAGCTCGAAACACATTAGTCTTCACTTGAGTTCTGCACGTCAAGGGTGTGCGCATTTCGACGTGGTCAGTTTGAGCGCCCCCTTGCTGTGCAGTCTCTTCAGCGTTTTGAACTCCAGCGGCATGCGGTGGGGACCCACATTAGAAAAATAGCGATATCTCAGTCCGTCATAGTAATGATATTTAACAGGATTTCCGTTGCCATCTTTGGGGAAAGGCCAGAATCCATACAGGTAGATTTCATCACAGAAGCGCGTAGCCATTGTGTACATCAATAATCCAGTAGAGGGTCGTTTGATATTTATCTTATTTGTGAGCCAGTACCTAAGAAATAAACAGACATTGCTAGTAGTTTTTGAATTATCAGTTGGTACCAATTTTCAGTGCTATAAATGGTCTTCCATGTATTATGAAATATAAAATCGCTACTTCTAAGGGCCAGATTTACTAATAGCTTGTACCAGCGCAAACCGTCTTTTGGCATTAAAATAGTTACTAAAGACGCACAGTGAAGAATTGTAGCTGAAAAGGCGTGGACACAGTTATTTTTGCGCCTGACCTTATTGAATATGCATTTGTAGGTGTTTCCCTTTCAGACGCGAAATTTATGAGAGGAGAGTATTCAAATGGATCACGCAATGCGATTTACTAAGGTTTGCGCTAATATTTGCGCCGTTATTTAATGACCCAAAAAATCATGTCTTAAAGGGGTCATATGATGTTGCTAAAAAGAACATTATTTTGTGTATTTGGTGTAATGAAATGTGTTTATGCGGTTTAAGGTAGGAAAAATTGAAATCGCATCATATGACCCCTTTAAAGCAGGCAGTAATTTGCGCTGCACTTGGTAGATTGCGCTGCTCATTATGGAAATGATCTGGCTGCATCTGTGTTCTTTAATGTGTGCGTTGTCTGTAAATCACACGCAGAATTTTCCACTCCGATCTGCGCTTTTTTTGCGTTCTAACGCTAATTTGTCCTGTTTAGTAAATCTGGCCCTAAGGGTTTAAAATCTTCCAACTTTTAAAATGTTTTTTTAATTTAATCAAAATTCCAAAATTGATGTCACTTTGATTTTTAACTAGAAAAGCCAATTTTGTCAAGACAAATTTTTAAAGTTTAAAATTTTAAAAATCAAAATGACATAAATTTTTGAATTTTGACTCATTTTAAATTTGACTTCATTACTTATGAATTTGAATTACAGTTCTGGACTCTTTCGTGTTACTTCAGATCAAATGAAAACCTGGAATTGGAAATGTCCTAACTCACCCTCGTACGGCGTGGATCAGGCGGAGTGAAGGATATGCCGTGCGCACTTTGAGTCTGTGTTTAAGAATGAGCTGATTCACGATTTCCACGTGCCTCTCTCCACCCTTCGCCATGAAGGCCGGGATCCAGAGCACGCTGTTGTTTAGCTGCTGTAGACGCCGGATGAATTGCACCCGCTGTCGTTCGTCCCTCAGACCCCCAAACACCCGCGGGATCACGGACGGGTTCATAGTGGTGAAGTCTGACCTCGAACCCACATCATCTGCAAACTCCTCTAGAGGAGCGAGGTTACATCTGCTCAGGGATGAAAGAACAGGCAATGGTCAGAGACAGGGCTCTTCAAAAATATGTGGAAAATACGACAAATTTAAAGAACAAACTAAAAATTAAACTTTTGAAGCTTTTTTCGAAACACAGATGCTTTGAGATATTTTAATACTGCTCTTTAATAATGTGGGCTGATGCTACTGAGCACAACAGAACCACCATAAAAATCACATTCAATCATGTTAAACAAGCCTGAGTATTTAATACAGCATATTTGACTTTAAAGGGTTAGTTCACCCCAAAATGAAAATTCTGTCATTAAAGTGCAGATGAGATTCAAAGTAGAGATTATCAGTGAATAATTACTTAAAATTCAAGTGTGTTCTTCATATAAAGCTGGCTACAAAATATGAGGGGCCGTATAGGCCATAATTATTGAAAAGCCTCTTACAAACACTAGTGAAACGAAAAACATTGATAAACCTTAGTGAAATTCATTCATACGCTCTCAAAATGCATGCTACGGATGCGAAAAACGCAGAAAATCGAACCCGATCCGAAAGTTTCGGAGGTAGTGTGTAAACGTGATTGACACAACATGAGGTCATATCTTTTTTTGAATGTGTGAAAATTTCAGATGAATATTTCGGACTCAGTGTACAAGGACCTTTAGAATGCACAAGTTGTACATGCTATTTTTATATATTTATTTATTTATTTAATTTGATTTATTTTTGGTTTGTTTTGTTTTTTTTGTCATACATAGCATTCAACATCTTCAGTCACCATTTATTAAATATACCAGATATTAAATATACCTTCATTTTTGTTTCATGAATAAGTCTGGAACCGGAATTATTATTGTTAACTAAAACTAAACCATAAAAATGTCATTACTTAACATAAAAAAAAGTAACTGAAATGAAATAAAATATAAAAAACTATTTTAACTATATTCTAACTTATTTTATTTCAGTTAGGCAACAAATTTTCTCATTTTCATTTACTTTAACTTAGTACTAAAATAACTAACACTAAATACTAAAAATATGTCAAAAACACAGAGCAAAATTACTACTTTGAAAACAGAAAATATTAAAATGAAATCCAAATTATATACTGTATATCATACAGTCATAGTTAATAGTTTGTTAATAGCAAGAATTGAACCTTAAAATAAAGTGTGACCAAAAAAACACTGGTTTGGAAAGACATGATGTGAGGTTTTCATTTTGGGGTGATAACAGTGAAAATACTGCAGTACTACAGAATGTACAAGTCACGTGAAGCTCTAAATTACTTTGAGCTTTTGTTCCTGGTTCAGATTTCCAAAAATGGGATCAAATA